AACTTTCCTGGAATTCTGTCTGGTTCTAGCTGTAAGGAAGTTAAGTTCACTGTAAGATATAGGTTATGATATATTCTAGACTTTGGGACAGTATTACTGGCTGCAAGATAATATCTGCAAGGAGGGAGGACTACCTTTATCTGCTCTTTTTCGCTCTAATTTCTATCCCATGGCATCCGTCCTGGTTCAGAGCTCAAGATGACCTGAAGTTCCTTTGTAGAATCCTTTACTTAGAACAGTGCAGGCAGCCACATAACTCATGCCATTACTTGAGTTGCTGAGAACTATGCAGCTTTTCAGGAAGACATTCTTGAAGCTTGAAGCCAAGCAGTTGCCTCAATGACTGCCTGATTGTTTCCATTTAACAATTTGGATTTTCTCCCACAGTCACTTTAGTGTGCTCAGTTAATTGGTGTTTTATGCTTGATTTTCACTTTCAGAATTCTCTCTCAGCATTATGAGGATTCAATGTCATGATGTAGGCAGACGTTCTTATATTGACATGTTTTGTTTTTGCCTAGTGGAGAGGTAATGCCAAAATTCTGAGTTCCATGGGAATAGAGCCAGAGATGTTTGGCTTCTCAGTCAGAGCTAGTGTCCGTGGGAGCGGATCTGGGAAAGTCTTGTGGAGGATCCATGGCCAAAACCGCATAATCAAATTTTGTTGTGAATAGTGTCCTTCATAAGACATTAGGAAAAGAGAGAACATAACACTTACAGAAAAAACATTTTCATAATAGAATAAACTTGCACAGTTAGGAAACAAAGAGGTGAGTTAGTAGGTTAATCTTTTTACATTTTTGTTTTAAAGTAACCTTTAAGATTTAATTGAATTAAATTTATCTGTTGTCCCTTCCCAGGAGGACTTTCCAACAAATTTCCTTAGGATTGGAATCAGGGAATATGTTTTTGATTTCTAAAAGCTAATTCTAGTGAATAGTGTTTTGCCTGTAATGCATGCATAAAATAAAAATATTTTATTAAGGTCAGTTTTTAAATAAAGTAAAATATATGTGTGGTTTTATAAAAAACACCTTTATTATGAAGCAGGAATAATAATATAGTATTAAATTTGTTCCTGCTTTATAGTAATCCAAAACTGAGATAAACTAAAACTAAATATGTATGTCTTTGTTTCATTGCCAGAGTATGTATTTCTAATCAGGAATATTTTGTATAAGGTCATATCATAGCTAGAGTAAAATATTCAACCTTTATAATAGATTATTAGGCAGTTGTGTGTTGTTGTTATTACACATACATTATGTCTGTCAAATAAATTGGGCTACTTAATATGTAAAATCTTATATTCTTGAACATCCTGTGGTTTTGACAGGATGTACTATTCATTGAGCTATTTAATATTTAATCTAGTAAAAGCTATGCAAATATTCCCTCTATCTTGTGTTTTAAATGGCAACAAAGATTGTCTTGCTATTAACCCTGCATACTACCTAATGAAAATGTATTCATTTTCCAAAGACTTCCTCTGTAAAATTCCATCCAGACATGAATGAACTAAATTTAGTACCATTTTTCATTGCTTGACATCTTACTCAAGAATGACCAAAATTAGTATAGTTTACTTTGATACGTTTTGCAGGGTGTAAACTGGAACTGAATGACCATGGAAATGAAATTTCAACACTACATGTCATATGCCAGGCAAGTCATGACTTGCATATCATGTTTTAGCCTATGGTTTAATTTATTAGTTATATTATGGGGTAGTATTTTTTATTTTAAGAAGTAATCATTTGTTATTTTAAATGGATTTTTAATCATGCTACATTTTTAACAAGTACTATTGGAATGAATGATCAAACAAGTATAACATTGATTTATATTTTTGTTTTTAATTGAGGTATATTTTATAAATGTATATTTCTTATATACAAATATAAATGCTGTATTTACTTGGTAAATATGATGTTTTCCAAGTGAGAATTTCTTTTTTTAATAGTTCATTTTTATTGTTTTTTTTTTGCATTACCATTTATCTTCTCTATACTCTCTTCTACCTCCACCCACCCCTTTATACTTCGCCCCTTCAGTCACCACACTGTTGTCCATGTCCATGAGTTCTTTCCCATTTTTGCTTGATCCCTCCACCCTTCCAAACTGCCTCCCCCCTCCAGAACTGTCAGCCTGCTCTCTATCTATGAGTCTGTCTCTGTTTTGTTTGTTAGTTCAGTTTGTTCATTAGATTGCACATATGAGTAAAATCATATAGTGCTTGTCTTTTCCTGACTGGCTTATTTCACTTAGTATCATGGTCTCCAGGCCCATCCATGCTGTTGCAAAGAATAACATTTTCTACTTTTTGTGGCCAAGTAGTATTCCGTTCTGTAAATGTCCCATGGTTGTTCTGTCCACCCATCTACTGATGGACATTTGGGCTACTTCCAGATCTTGGCAATTGTATTGATTAATTTCTTTTAGCCTCAATTCCCTCTATGAAATGGGTGTAGTAATAACACTTAACTTTCCACATTATGGAGGTAATATTATATCATTAATGTGAAAATACTTTGAAAACTAGTAAGTATTATTTTAATTTTGTATCCTTATACCCAATAAAATAGTAGTTTTAATCACACACTACTATAGATTTCCCATTAGAGTCTACTTGTCCTATCACAAAAGAGATTGGTCCTGACAGTTCCTTCATGGTCATATTGGTTTCAAGAGAGGGCTACCACATCATAAAGTGGGTGATGTGATCCTGGGACACCATGATAAAGGTCACCATAAAGATCTAATCACTATAAAGATTGGGGAGTGGGTCCTTGAAAACTGAGGTGTTCCTTACTCACACTCCCCACCATAGAGGTCAAGGTCTCCAGTTATGTGTACTCCAAAGCCTAAGGTATGTTAATGGATCTACTGACTTAGAGTTTTGGGATATGTATATTCATGGTCCTGGAAGAAAGTAAGTTCCAGTATGTGCAACTGAAAGTGACCTCACCCCACCACCATAGTTGGCTCCTTCCCCCACAGGGGCAGCCTGCTTACAGGTCCAGCCTTATCAATGTGAACTATGGCAGTATTAAAATTAGGAAAAGAACCACATCTTATATGAGTGGACATTGTTGTAATATCATTGATAGTGAAACATCACATTTGTATTAATGGTAAACTATGTACTTAGGAACCATGAACCAGATAGAATTTTAAACACTTATAACTGCCTTAGAGCTATGTTACTAAGCTGATGAAGGGTGAAGAGAGTTCACTTCAAAAAGATTTATGTGCAGTATTGCAGGTACAGATTTGTAGGCACTTTATAATTAGTTTTTCAATCCAGTTTGAAAATTGATGCCCACAAACCTCAGATAAATGTGACAGTATCATTAAGTGCTAGAAAAAAAAATGCAGCTCCCCTGTGTCCCTGTGGCTTCAGAACTTGTAACTCTAGGACCATATACCCTTGCCAACTGCAATCACTTGGAAATTGAACCTATGAAAACATATAAATAGTTTTCAGGTCAAGATAAAGAGAACTGAAACAGATAAAAGTAGCTCTTGCTTTTGTATGTGTACAGCAACTTGACTAGGACCAAATTAACAAGAATTTCACTCATGAGAACTAGAGTAGCAGACCTAAAATTCCCAAACCAAATTCTTATGCTAAACCATAATAATAAAGTGAAAATCAGAAATCTAGAATTAACCTTCATAGTATAAAACTGTTGTGTCTTTCAAAAAAAGGTGAAAACACTTTAATATAATTTATATTGTTTCTACACATTACACGTAAGAAATAATTTCACTTAATTATAAGTACAATTAATTTGATTAAACAAAATCCTAATTTACAGAACAGAAGTAAATATATGCAGAAATATATTCATTATTGAATTATAAAATAAAATTAACAGTTCTTGTTAAGATATCATCAGTTTATTACTCTGTATTTCAGATAATAGAGTGAAATCATTTTGGTATGCTTAATATTACTTATAAGTACTAATAATGGAACGTTGAGATTTGAATACAATGACAGTAAACCATTGAAATTTCACATTCACATTATACAGCCATCATCATTCCATAAGTGACTGTTAATAGTGTAAAAAAATATAAAATGATTGTAATGTAACCATCTAACCATTAGCATATGGAGTTTTAAGAACACTATTTTATCTCCTAATTTGCTCTGAAATATAAGCAGTTGCTTTTCTGTCATATAAGACATCTTTGTGCCTTAATACTCAATTTGAAATGTCCTTACTGTAAAAATATACCAAAGTAAATAAAAAAGGAGACACTTATTTACAAAAAAAGTATACATATTATATAAATGCAATTGTTTCAAAGTCTTTTTATGTGATATTGATAAAATCCGTCATTTTCATTACTTTATAAAAGCTGCAGTGTTGCAAAGGCTGTAATTTTTAAATTTTGTCATTTTGAAATTTTGATGAAAATGAATACTTTTTGTCTACTTTTTAAGATAAATCAGTTTCTCCAAGTATACTGCGAAAATTATTCTTTTATTAAAGAAAATTCATTCCCCATTTGTAGGTGTATGAAAGTGCACCTGAAGAACGGAAGAAATTATTATCTTACTGAATGTTTTTACTTGATAAACCTGATAACATCAACCATTCAGCATATTGTATTAGCACCATTGGTATGGATTGTTAATGTACTGTACCAATTATAATAGGAATGGGAACTTGCATATTGTGTACCATCCCTATTTTTGTGGAATTTCATCTTACCAAGTATGCTATCATACAATATAAATTCAAGTGTATAAGGATGATTCAAATGATGGTATATAACAATCCTGCATTTTACCAATACTATATATAGATTTTTCTGTAGATACTAAATGCACCTCTAAAGAAATAGACTTTAAAGCATACTCCTTTAATTCACTAGAATACAAGAAGAATTGCTTTCATATACCTGCATATGTTGTGTGTGTATATATATATATATATATATATATATATATATATATATATAAACATAAGTGTAATTTTATCCCCTACTCCAAAAGCTCTGGAAATCATAAAGCTTTTTATTGTATGATTTATTTTGATGGTTAAATGCCAACCATTGCATATATTCTCTCTTTTAGTTTATATACTGTAATTTACGCTTAAATGACTGTAGCATACTATAGGCTTGTAGCCTGTGGTACATAATTTCACAGTTTCAAAATTGTTGCAGGGAAGGCCTTCCATGTTTTAGGAAGTTATTAACTAAGTATAAATTTCATGAGCACCCACAGCGATCTACTACCATGGCTGGAATTTTCCCATATATTATTTGTTCTTTGCCATTAAAATATAGCATATTAATTGGAGACATCTTTGTGGGAGTGCAGCAGGGGCCTGCTGAACCTCTGGGGTTTGCTTGGTGTACAAGATGAGTATGAGGATATTTTTGTAAAAATACAAATTCACACTCTCCAGAGCAGTAATTGGCCTTATATCTTTTGGGTGCAATAATCCAATCCCATCCAAACGCTTCAAAATCCACAGTTAGAGGGTAACGACAGCATCGAGATTCCGTTGAGTGCTCATCACAGTCAAGTCCAAAATCTCTTCTGGATCTTTTTGGTGTGTCTGTTACCTTGATTTCTAAAAATGGATTCTATGTGACAAGGAAAGAGCAATCAGTAATTTGCATAGATCCTGAACACTTTCCTATCTCAAGAACTCATTATTGAAGAAAAAACCTAATCATTTTGTTTATATTACGTTTATTTTTTTAAGAATCTCTATTTTTTAATTGATTTTAGGGAGAAAGAGAAAGAGGGAGTGGGGAGAGAGAGAAACATCAATGAGAGAGATAAACATCAATTGGTTGCCTCTAGTACACAAGGGATCAAACACACAACCCAGGCATGTGGCCTCAATGGGAATCGAACCAGTGAGCCTCCAACAGACTGTGCCACACTAGCCAAGACTATACCACATTTATTTTTAAAAGTCAGAGCATCGAGGAATTTTAATTTACACTGGGATTGATTCTTCCCTTATAGCTCAAAGATATACAGGAGCAATACCAATTTCCTTGTGGCATATCATAGATGCTCTGAAAATATTTATAGAATATTTAGAAGATATAGAAGATTTCTTCTATAGAATATATAGAAGAAAGGGAGGGAGGGAGGGAGGGAGGGAGGAAAGAGGTTAAGTTACTTCCTGTCTTCCCTCTTGTTGATCAAATATGTAGGCTAAATATGTCTGATGACTCCTGGAGAGGCAGGTATACTCATCCATCCTCCACTCAGGGAAACTTGGGTATTAAAGCCAGAACAAAACAGTTATCTCCCAGCACTGTATGCACTATAATAGGAAGAAGAAAGGTAGGGTGATGAAGGTGGTGGTATGTATAGTGGGTTGGAAACAGAAACTTTAAGACAGGGAGGGACAGATTCAGAAAAAGGATAACAGTATTTCCTTTATTCTTTCAGTGAAAGATGTTTCTAATCAGATATTTAAACAATTTTCTAATCCTTCTCTTGTTCCAATCTTTTCATGCATTTGAGACTTCTTTCCTTTTACATGAAAAATTCTGAGGAATATGTCATATTGACCACCTGTTTAATAATAATTAAAACCAATCACATTACCCACTTTGATCATTAAAATGCTACCCATGAAAAAAAGAACACTTTCTTAAATTAATAGTAGTTTTTATCCTACACCAAAATTAAAATAGACCAAGTATTCACTGTTATTTAGCATTATAAAAGGAGTAACATTATTTTGAGAGTCAAAAACATTTTATATAGCCTATTTAAAGAAAAAGAGATCATTTGGAAACCTGTACAATCACTTCAAGAATGTTTTCATTAAAGTAGACCTGGCAGTATCACTTACTAAGAACACTGAAAAGATAACATTTATTGCTTACAAGTATAATCTTTTGTTATAAATTATGTCAATAGGTAGAAGTAAAAAATGTCATGTTAAATAAGCTTTTGAAACCATAAATAAACACAAGCATAGGTAAGTTAGAAAAGTAATTCTAAATTTATAGTAGGTTTTAAAGTTATTTTTATTACTTTTATGATATATAAGGTATTGTCATCTGCTTGGCCTGTAACTAAATCAGTTGGCATTGCCTAAGTAAACTCTTGAGTGTTTACTTTTGAATAAGGCAGCTCAAATAAGCTAAGCAATAAAATTAACTAGCCTGAACATTACATTTTATTAGCATAATTCACAAAGTAATATATATATATATATATATATATATATCAGTGAATTAATAGCCTACAAAATAATGCATATATTTATCATTAAGGACCTTAAATACAGTATGTTTAATAAAATATAAACCTAAACATATTGTACTAATTACTATAAATAAAAGCATTTATTTTAATTAAAACTTTTAGAGATTCTTTTTTTCTGCTTTATTAAGCCAAAAAGTTTCAATACATTGCACTCTTCTGGAGGGGCGAGTTTTAACTTCTTATATATATATATATATACTAGAATCAACTATGAAGATTTCATGTCTTTATTCATATAATTTTGTATCATATCCATTCCCAATTTCTATTCCCAATTCAGGAGAGCTGCCTAAGAAGTTAAGGACTATGGAATAACTTTTAAAAATCATCATGCAAAGTAAAAGTATCAAGAGAATGTTTCATAGAATACGAAATTAGATACCTACTTTTATTGGATACTGGGCTGCCATTGGGGCACGATACCTTCGTTTGGCTTATGGGCATAGGAATTTGGTAGCTATTTTCACTATTACTCATTCACATTATGATGAAAACATAACAAGGTTGTTAGAATGTTATTTTCACTTATCACTTACCAGCCCATCTTCTCCTGGTCCTGGGAAGGTTACAGCAAGATCATGACCATTCTCATCTAAAGCCTTGATTTCAATGCCTAAGTTGGATTCAGGTTGTTTGAGCCAATTTTGCAACACTGTCTTCACATCAATGCTCTGCCAAATACCAGTGCCTGGGTTCATGTCGAGTTTCAGAGATCGGATTCCAGTATACCTTGTACCGTCTTTCATGGGTTTGATGAGTCTCAGGATTTGCACAAACACCGTTGTAGGAGTCTCGACGGGCCTCAGATAAATCCACAGTTGGGCCTTTACTACTTTATTGAATTGTATTTTAGAGCTAAATTTAAAGAAACAACATTTGGGTTTTCCTTCCACTTGCACTAGAAGATCAGCTATAAATGAATCAGAGAAGAGTTATTGAAATTATTTCTCATATAAAATGAACAAACCCCTGCATAGTAACTAGAGAGTATGTTTTCTATTGGATTAATGAATGTGTATCTATTCTTTTAAAATTAAAAACTATGTAGCATTTCATTCATAACTCAGAAAAATATCCAAGAAAATGATTACTCTAGCTTTTCAGAATTTTTAAGATATGTGTTTTTTCAGCTGTTTATGGGGCATCTATTCACTTTCCAAAGAACTGTGGATGAAGGAAAATTCTATGAAGGAATGAACAGTGGATGAAATTTTAAAATGATGATGATTAGAGAGAACAAGAGACACCGTGGAGGAACATCCACTTAGAATTCTTTGGGAATCTGAGTAGTTACACTTACTGAGCAGCTGTACCAATCAGTCTGGAAGAAGGAACCCTTCCCCCAGGCCTAAATTACCTGGGGACAAGACACACTGAGCAGCTAACTGAGCCTGGGGAATTAGTAGAAAATATAGTACATCTGTTATGTTTTGGCTCGGGAATAGCCTTTTAAGGGATCAAAACTAGCAGGTAATGAGCACCAAAAATGAAATGTTAGATTCAAAAGTTAGAAAATATATCTTTAGTCTCAGGCTGTCAGTGTAAGCAGAAGCACTTAAAAATTTCTTTCCTCTTGTTTTTCCAAGATTGTTTATAAATAAAGCAAAGCTTTTCCAGGACTATCTGATAACAGAGCCTTACAGGAAAAGTACTTGTTGCATTATATCCAGATTAGTTAATAAGGAAAATAACATTTTGAAACTATTTGAGTGCAGTTTACAGTGTGTGAAGCACTGTATAAAGCAAGCCCACAGACACATGACACAAAATCTTCCTTGTCATGCTTTCTCTCTTAACATGCCTGTCTCCCTTCCTTTCTTTGACTAGAGTTTTGAACTGACTGTAGAAGGAATCGTATAAAATGTATTCTCTTTCAAAAGCAATGTAGATACTACAGGTAATAGTCCTCTCTCTGGTAAAGAAGTGAGTAGTATTTTAGAAAGTCCTTAAGCAATATGCCTGCCTGGAAATGTGCACACTAGGTACTGACAGCAGTAGTACCATGGTCAAGGTTTAAGTAGGACTTTGTGAGCCATAACATACTCAATTAAAATGTTTATTTCTTAGGCATTTTCTGATAATTAGCTCATGATCATCATTATGCTATGTTTGCTTCATCATTGCTGTTATTAGTACATTACATTTTTAAAAAATATTTTTTTATATTCTCCAGTGTAATACCTTTCAAAATTAAGTATTTTAATTTGTAAAGAACATAAAAAATGTATGAAATAGTTTTGAATAACAAGTCATTATAAGTGTTCAGCAAATGCTCAAATGGACTTAAACATCTACAGATTTCTTCCTTTCTCTATTCTTAGTGAAAAAAAACTTGTTACTACAAATGTATATTAAAGCAACCAGATGCATTTATGGAATTTTATACAAGTTTTAAACATTGCATGCAGTATCCCTCAGAAGTTGCCTGGTGGTATTAATCTGTAAAAGTATAAGCATGTTTATTTGTCACATTATACTAAATAACATTAATGCTTTTGCAAGCATGTGCAGATATTAGTCTCATTAGTATATTGCTCATGAAATCTTGAAAAAAAAGAAACCTCTTTTCCCTCCTACTTACATAAAAGCCAACAGCTTGTTAAAAGAGCCTGAAAATAGATCTGTTTCTCATAAACACTAGAACAACAGTCAGCAGAATTGTTGATATACACTAAAAGGACTACTTACACTCTGTAGGCATGGTAATGATTGTTTCTGTCGTGGCATGATAATCATCATCTTCCAAGGAACCATCACTGCTGTCATCTCTCTGGACATCGTACTGATCAATCAGTTCCCGGAGTGGAGGAGCTTTGGGCAAAAGTTGTCTTATAGCATCTTTGCTGATGTTAGGAGCTGTTTCTAGCCGAAGTTTACTGAGGATTTGAATTTTTATGGCTTCTATTCTTGAAGATTTAGTGTTTTGTCTCCAAGTGCATGCATTACACAGCCCCTCTTTTTCCACATTTTCTTTTTGCTCGCTGTTCTCATTTAGATCCACTGGACCAGCAACAATCAGCATAAACAGGTAAATATAAACATAGATTTGCAGTTTTTGCATGATTTTAAAATCAATACAATCTTTTCCTTGTTGTTACTTCCTTCTTTTACTTTTCTTTTGCTTTTGAGTAACGCCAAGCAAAATTGTAATGCCTCTACAGTCGAAGAGACAACTTGCCACACCAGTGAATCTTTTATACTGTATTCCAAGTGGCTTTTTATATTCCAACTTCGATGAGACAAGTGTCGTCAGGATCTATGATTGGCTCTTGCTCCACAATGAATCTCGCTGTCAGAGGTTAAAACCCTGTCTGTCACAAGTCATGAAACAGTATTTTGTTACAGTCAAGGGTGAGCTGATTCATTTGAGTACTTTATAAAAGAAATAAATCTACAAATAGTGAAAGATGTATGTGACATTTGAAAAACTAAGTCTATATAAACAGTAATGTAAACTACAGTTCACTCTTATTAATCTTTATATGTGAAACTCTTAAGTTACAATTTAAAATAGTATTATAAATCTTAATCCACACTGCATGCTTAAAAAGTTGAGATGTTACTTCCTCAAAAATTAAAATGATTTTACACTATTTAAGCAAGCAGTTAAGTAAAAAATTATTTGTTATTTGTTATATTACAGTATTAGTCCTGTGTAATCAGAAAAAATATAAATTTAAATTAGAAATACCTCAATGAAAAGAAAAATCAAGATTGTAATATTAGTAAAAGATTTTCAGCTATAATCTGAGAAACTTGTTTTCTTGACTAAATTTTTAGTACATGTTGAAAATCATAATGCACGTGAAATTATTTTTAAATTATTTATTATTGTATTAGTACAAAAATTATGCTTAATTTTGACTAATTATGTTATTTCCTATTCTAAAACCACAGACTAATATTGCTCAGAAGATGTATTTCTTTATTGTTTATTACCAAGAGGATAGTGTCAGCCAGTAGAAAATTCTTTGAACTTAGAATAAGAAGATAATGGATTTTATGACTATGATGTAGCACTTACTACAATTTGCCTCAAATTTCCAGTGGTAAAAGTAAAAAATGTATCTAGATGCTATCTATAAATTATATCAGAATATTAAGAATACATAAAGGGAAGAGCACCATAATAAAAGGATGTTCATTTTTTGTGGGGTTTTTTTGTTTGTTTCCCAACTGTGAACAGGTTTGCACCCCTTTGCCAGTTTTTTATTTTGACCGGAGGGCAGACACCTGGCAGGGATTTGGGGTAAGGTCTGAGAGCAGAGAATAGAGCTTTTTGTTCTTTATATTTAAGTGGCCTCTGTAGGGATCAAACTCTCAACCTTAGCTTTTGGAGCCACAAGATCTAATCAAATGGACTATTAAAGAGCTGAACAAACATAGGCAGCAAGAAACAGAAGCTGTTTCCAGGCCACAGATTTCTTCTTCCTACTTCTATCTGGGAAGATATGGACTCCTAAGAGAGTTAACGTATTACTTTTTTTTTCCTGAGAGAGTGCAGTGGCTCATATCAAATAGTTATTTTTTAGGTCACTACCACTTTTGCACATTGCACACTAATTTACTGCCTCAGTGCACTAAAAAGCAACTCAGTAGCCTGAAAAGTTAATGCATTTTCATCAAATTCTTAAGAGGTATCTACATCTCTTGAGAAAAAATGGCCTTACATAATGCATTAGATTTGCCCATCATTAAAGATTAAGGAAAACCAGACACAAACCAGATGCCTTGAAGGATTTCAGAATTTCAGATACTCTTTGTTGTAGGACAATATTAAATCAGGCTTCTAAAGTTTTGTTTGATAAATTTATTTTTCAATACATAAATCTTTGTGATGTTATAATAATTGTAACATGAGTAGTCAAACCTTTCTAAAACATTTTTTTTTATTAGAATTGCACAGTAAGACTCTGGAGTCAGACCTGAGTTCAAATCTCAACTGCCAATTCTAACTATGTGATAATGGATGAGATACATAAATTAGCTAACCTTCAGTGTCCTCATAAAGTTTTGGGGGAATGTAATTTAATAATCCATGTAAATTGCTGAATATAGTGCCTGTCATATAGTAAGTGATTGATAACTGGTACTTGAGTGCTTGGTTTTTGTTTCATGCAGAAGGGTTTGAGATTATGCTTAAACTTATCCTCCACATGAACTAGAACTGCTTCACATTATAGCTGCCAATTATATCACATAGGATACTTCTCTATGCCTCTAAGTTAAATAAAATTTTCTAAGGCAGCTTGATTACAGGACATGTTTCAGCTCTTTATTGTTACTTCTTGGAATAAAGAAACCATGGTTGTCCTCTCTATATATGGTCAATGCTCATTTATTCATGGATTCCAAATTTGCAAATTTGCTCACTTGCTGAAATTTATGTTTAACTCCCAAACCAATATGTATGATATTTGTGGTCATTCATGCACATGTGCAGAATGGTAAAAATTTTGAGGCTTCTGACACACAGGTTCCCAGATGAGGTCACACAAGGCAATTCTCTGCCCTGCTTCAGTTCTCATGCTATAAACAAGTGCTCTTTTTGCAGTCTATTTAGTACCATGTTTTCCACATTTTGTGTCTCTTTTGGGGGTAATTCAGTGCACGATGTAGTATGCAGATGATGCTTTACTGAATTGTACACTTGAAACTTGTATTGTTTTGCAAACCAATGTCACCAATGTCAGTAAATTAAATTTAAAAAGATAATAAAATAAAATAAAAAAGTGAAAGAAGTCAAAGACAAAGACAAAAAATATGAATATAAATGAATAAAGTGGTCCCCAAGCAGAGTACTAAAGTGCTGTGCTACTAAGCACAAGAAGGTGGTGATGGAAAGTAGAATAGTGGTTGCCAAGGACTGGAAGGAAGGGTGGGGTGTGAGGAAGCTACAGTTTAATAGATAGAGTCTCAACTGGGGAAGATCAAAAAGTTCTGGAGATGGATGTTGATGGTTGCACAATAATGTAAATGTACTCAATGACACTGAAAAGTACACTTTAAAATGGTTAAATGATCAAATTTATGTTATGTATATTTTAGCACAAACTTTTTTTAAAAAAGAAGGTTGTCATATGACTTAGGAAGAAAATTCATTATGGAAACGTGTTAGATAAACTTTGTTCCAGCGTGAATTATAGTGCTTTTGGCCTTGAGTTCTGTGTTAATAAATCAACAATAAGATTTCTTTAAACAGAAACTCATATAAAACAAAGTTCTGTACTTATCAGTTGATAAAAATGTTATGACCAGGGGCTCACAGGAACCTAACCTTGTATTTCCCCTAGGAGAAGTAGTTCAGTTATCACTTATACACTGTTGGCAATGACTGCAGAAGATAACTACCAGGAATAATAAGAATCAACTCCTCTAGAGGTCAGTAGTGAATGAGTCAATGAAGTGCTGAAGAAATTTTGAGAACATATATTACTTTTTCAGTGGCAGTGATTGCAGCTGTCCCAAGGCCCTGGAACAGGCAGGTTCACCAGCTGTAGGAACCTTCACTGTGGTCGGACTGCTGGGGGCCCTAACTTTGGCTGCTTTCAGCAAGGAGACAGGACAGTGTGTCATTATTGTGCATGAGTGAAGACATCCTTTAAAAAAAAAGGTTTTATTTATTTATTTCCAGAGAGAGGGGGGAAGGGTGGGAGAAAGAGAGTGAGAGAAGTATCAATGTGTGGTTGCCTCTCACATGGCCCCCACATTCAACCCACTCGGCTACACCAGCCAGGGCTGGACACACCCTTTAGTTGACTAGGAGAGCTTGGTTGACATGCTTGTTGACTTTGTTTAGGTTGACCATCTTTAAAAGCAGTTTCCCACAGGAGTTAGGATTTAGGTGGCCAATATAACTCTTCACAAGACTTGTGTTTGTTTTTTCCTCTCTTCTTCTTTGTACTGGATTGGCCTTAACATCTCTGTAACTGTTAGTCAGGTAGCAAGCAAAATTTCCCTCCTCTCTGTTACAAATACCAGAGGGTGTTTCAAAACAACTTTGAGAATATAAAGTATACTTCCAAAAAAAATGTTTATTCTTTACAGTCTGGGAACTATTTGGTGCACTAATGTAAAGGCTTGCTAGTTTAATGCTGTGGTCAAAGAAAGGAGGAGGAGACTAGGAACTAAAGTAAGAATGGATCATAAAAAATTTTAACTCTATTGTGGGGGAAAACCCAGAAAGTTATATTTTACTGATCACTCCTGCCATTTCCTTGCACTTTTGCATCACTCTATGCTGATGCTTAAGACTAGGATAAACTGTATAGTGCTCAACTCACATAACCTTGTGAGAAGGTAGTCATCTCACATCAATGATACCTGATTATCCATGCTTTCAACAGATTATAGAAGAAAAATGAACAAAAACAAAAATATTCTTGAGTGAGGGAACAACACTAGAGGAATAGAAGACAGGAGACCTGAAATATAGTTCTGGCTTTGCAGCTGACATTTTATGTAACCTTGAATAAATCAGTTAGCAAAGACTTATGAGTATATATATTAATTCCCTTATTATTTTATGAAATATTCTAATGTCTGTGCTGTGCCTGGCACTGTGCTAGATTCTGAGGAGAAAACAATGAGCCAGACACAAACAGTCACTGTCTTCATGAAACCTATGGTCTAGTTCCTTCATGTAAGCAAAATATGAGGAAATTTGATGAGGTCTGCCCTTCAGTTCAAGTTTATTCCCTGAGGCAGTAATTCTCAAACTTTCTGGTCTCCATATTTTTTATACCCTTAAAGTTATTTACAATCCTCAAAAACTTAGTTTATGTAAGTCATATCAATCAACATTTAACATAGAAGTTAAAATGAGAAATTTTAGAATGCAGACATAAACAAGCATATATTCTATCTGCTGAGAGAGTGAAGATGTCACATATTGGGGAGCCTCTGGAAAATCCCACTGTATACATAGGAAAGAATTTGAATAGCAAGTGAAATATTAGGATTGTTATGAAAATAGTTTTTAATACACAGATTTTCTGAAAGGATTTTTACTCCAGGGATTCCCTGGGCTACACTTTGAGGACCATGCCCCAAAGTAATAATTTTTATACTACTTTAATTGAATATTTTTCCCTCCTCCTATTACCTATAGCTTTGCTTTTAACAAGACTCAAATAGTGCACCCTGGCTGGCGTAGCTCAGTGGATTGAGCGCA